GAATGTAGTTTGTTGATATTTTGTTAAGGCAGGTGGATTTAAAAAAATTCAATACGCTTACTCTTAAAGATATATATATGGAAGAATAAAAGCTGAGAATTAATTAGCTTAGTCAACCTTAAGGGAAAAAAACATTGAGGGGGTACCTGGATGGCTCAATTGGTTAAGTGTGTGCCATCGGCTCAGGTCATCATCCCAGAGTCCTGGGATGGAGCCCCATGTCAGGCTCCCTGATCAGCTGGGTGCTTGCTTCTCCCACTCCTTCTGCCCCTACCCCTCTGCTCATGTTCTCTCTCTTTTAAATAAATATATGAAATCTTTTTTAAAAAGTGGAGATTTTCCCTCCTATAAATGACATCCTACAGAGTAATAACATTACAAGCAGTAGAGTAATTGTACAAGGTCAAACAAAAAGACCAATTAAGGAGAATAGGAAGCTCAGACAAACAAGAAACAATAAAGGTAGCCTTACAAATCAATGGAAAAAAATTGTTTAGCAGATGGTATTCAGAAAACTAGCTCCTTTTGTAGAGAAAAATAAGACTTACTGAAAAAACTAAGATAGTAATCTCAGCCAGAAGACCAAAGTGGTCTCCAGAAGAATTAAGAACCTAATGTGAAAAGCAAATCTAGAAAGTTAACAGAGGGACAAAAAAGGACTTGCAAAATAAAATTTCAGAAGTCTGAATAATAAGGCAAATCACTTATTGCCTGATTACATAAAAATTAAGGCTTTCTCTCAAACAACACCAATATATGACAAAATGGGAGAATATATTTGCAGTGTCTAAAGCCAACAGCTATTGTATATGGTAAAATAACTTACAAATCAACTGGAAAACAACAATTCCAAGTAAAACATTATAAACAGAAAACTTTCAGGGGAAAAAAATGCAAAAGGCTAATATATATATCTGAAGAGGTGCTCACATCCAGAGCAAGACAAAAATGCCATTTCATTCTATCACACACTGACAAAAGTTAAATATCATATAATGCTAATTGTTGGCTTGGATATGGGAATATAGGAATCTGCATGTACTGGTGGTGCAACAATAAACTGGTGTAGCCATTCTGTAGAGCAATCTGAGAAACTTTAAGCAAACTAAGTGTATATATGTTTTATTACACAACAATTTTACCCCTAGGTATAGGATCGCTGAGAAATGTCCACACAGATCCTTCTTAATGGAGCACATACAATGATTTTTCACTGTGGTGTTATTTACAGTGGTAGAAAGTTGGAGACCATGCAGGTTGGGTGTTCAGTGCTGAGAGGATAAGTAAAATGTGGGGAAAGTATATGAATATTATGGAGCAGTTTGAAGTAATGTTCACAAAGCAATGATAAGGGATAAATCGTAAATACCATTTACATATATTTTAGGGACACCTGGGTGGTTCAGTTGGTTGGGCGTCCAACTCTTGATTTCAGCTCAGATCATGATCTCAGAGTAATGAGAACAAGTGGCACATTGGGCTCCACACTCACCAAGGGAGTCTACTCCAGATTCTCTCTTTCTTCATCTCCCTCTGCCCTTCCCCCCAATCAAATGTGCTCTCTTGCGTGTGCTCTCTCTAAAAAATAATCTTTAAAAAATACCACTTACATACATTTTTAAAATACATGCATAGGAAACAATGCACAGCCTACAAAAAAACATGCAAGTAAAAATACACAATCAACACTTTGGAATGGTTGCCATGGGAGGAGGAGAACTGGAGTGGAGAATAGAGATATGTGAAGACTAATAATCTTTATTTAAAACAAGATTTTATTTATTTGAGAGAGAATGAGAGAGAGAGAGCACAAATGGGGTGAGGGGCAGAGAGAGGGAGAAGCAGACCCCCCGCTGAGCAGGAAGCTCAAATGTGGGGCTCCATCCAAGGACCCTGAGATCATGACCTGAGCCCAAAGGCAGATCCTCAACCTACTGAGCCACCCAGGTGCTCCAAGTCTAATCATCTTCTAACATACTGTGTAATGTACTTATGTTTACTATCTTCACTGTCTATCTTCTGTAAGCCTCAAGAGGCTTTATATTGCTACCTGAGTATAAAACTCTACAGTCGTAAATCCCAGTCACCAACAAGGATACCTAGCACATGATAGGTACTCAAATTTTGCTGAATTAATATGTAAAGAAAGGGGTCCTGTACAGCCCATTTGCGATAATGATATCTAAAAAACAAGAATAGATGAATAGGGGAATATGACCAATCCAAATGGAATAGGGGTTATGGATTATGAAAACCTGGTGATGAAGCATGAATGACTTCACCAGACACTACGAGCTAGGAAGCACCATACTCAGCCAGAGTTCAGAAATATGATAGGGTAGGTCTTGGAGATGTGGCCCATACCCTAAAGGATCCACTAGCGAGAAGCACACAATTTCAGATTCAAGTTATATATGAGTAGCTCTGAAAAAAATGCATGTTTTAATATTAGTGCACCAAATTATCTTTTCCTGTGTCAGACTCAAATCGATCATCAGCCAATTAAAATTGTGGATAACTGACTTGATCTAACATAGAACCCCACACCCAACATAGAAATGTATCCTGCTAGTTCAAGCTAATAAAAGTTAATCAGCTTTTCAGTCCATATTCAAATGAAAAAGAAATGGCCTAATTATAGATTCTGTATTGAGAACACATACCTCTTCACAACTTCTAATTATTCACTGGAAATTCACAGGATAGATTGCATGTCATCTTTTCTTATAGGTCAATACTTTTTTAAAAATTTAACACAAATGCATATTGATAACTTAAATCCATTTTTTCATTCTTTCACACACTGTAAAACAACTATGGCTTTATGGCCACTTGACATTTCCACTTCAGAAAACTGTCCTTTTTATAGTTGCCACAGTAACATGTTTTGTTGGTATGACAATTCTAAAATGTTGTAAGATACATTTTTATTTCCCACAAATTTTATTTCACTGCAGCTCCCTCTTCTTTGAATTAATGACACTTATTCCTCCAGGGAAGTGTGAATAACACCTAAAACAAAGGAGTCATTAATCAGCTCTGAGTTTTAGTGTATGTGCTGCTGAAGCAAGCACAGCTCTGAGTTTTAACGTTGACTCTTAAAAAAATTAATAGTCTCTAGAGCGGGATTTGTTGAGAAAAGGGATTCCAAGCTCTTTTTAAATAACCAACCCAAGCTCGGATGTCTGAACATAAAAAAATTTTTTAACATAAAATTTTGACCAAGGTATAGGTTGTGAGAGCAACAAGCAAGCATCTTTGGGAGCTTGCAAATATGTAGATGCTCAGGTCCCACCCCACACCCATGGAGTCAGAATCTGTACATTAAAAGTATTCCCCAGGTGAATCACACACACATTCAAGTGTAAGAATCACTGAAATAAAGTACAAGTGGAAGACTGGGGAGAGACACTTCTTCCATTATAAAGGTAAAATAAAGTGAGTTTATATGTAGGTTGGTTTGATGGTAGAAAATGATCAAGAATCATTCTGATGGTTTCTAATATTTGTCTTTCAAAGTTTTCATCCTCTTAGCAGCTATAGGAAGAATGGAATAAGTTTCATTCATTCATTCATTCAGTAAATGAATGAGTGCCTTTAATGTGGAAGGCAATTTTAGTTTGTCTCAGTCATCTACATCGGAGTGTTTTGTGGCATGAGAGTCTACCCCTTTCCTTAATTTCAGAAATCTTGCCTTTTGAAAAATTTGTCCAAATCAAATTAAATTCATTGAATGACCTTAAAACACAATAATTTTAATGACACTATGTTATGCACAGCCTATAGATAAAGTGCATTTTCTTTTAAAATGACAAACCATGTTGGTAGTAAAATGTAAATAGAGAGTTAGAAGATAACAATGAATCTGAAAAGGTGAATATTCTTTCCTAAAGGCTGCTTAAATGCACTAAGCATACATTCAATATATATTAAACACATACTGTGTGCTAGGACCTCTGCTAGGCATTTCAGATAAAAAAAAACATGCATGAAACAACTCCTATTATATAGTAATGTATATAGGACTGGCCTTATGGGAGAGCATGGTCACACAAACCCAGTGCTGAGGAGGACCTAGCATTTTCTTTAATGTTCTCACCACAGTCTTGAAATTCTCAAAAATCTTAGCTTGTAAGTGAAATGTTAAGTATACGCACTTTTAAGTAAAATCTAGTGGAAGAATGGACCATGTGTGTGAGCAGAGGAGATACACACAAGAAAAGAGATGGGTGGGGGAGCTTTATATTTTAGTACTTTTAATGGCCCTTTCCTGCTTTTGAGCAAGGGGCTCTGCATTTTTATTCTGCACTGGGCTGGGCCAACTATGTGGCTGGTCCTGATGATGGTCAGATAGATCCACGTGGTAGATACTGTGGTAGACAGAGAATGGAATCAGTAGCTAGGAAGGGGTCAGTGATGACTTCACAGGGAAAACGAAGCCTCTGAGGCTCTGAAGGACCAAGTGGAGTTTGCCAGGTGACAAGTGTACTGTACTCCAGAAAGGAAAAGCTAGGGAAGAAGCAGCACTCTTATGTAAAGATATATATCTATATAGATATTTATAGGTGTACACTTATTTCCTCTAAGTTTTATATATATATTTTATTTATTACTATTTATATTTATTTATTTATTTTACATGTATATTTTAATTTTATTTATTCATGACACAGAGAGAGAGAGAGAGAGGCAGAGACACAGGCAGAGGAAGAAGCAGGCTCCATGCAGGGAGCCCGATGCGGGACTCGATCCAGGGTCTCCAGGATCACGCCGTGGGCCGAAGGCGGCGCTAAACCGCTGGGCCACCGGGGTGCCCGCTCTAAGTCTTTTTTTAAAAGCTTCATTGAGGTTTTGCATATGCACAATTTATTATAAAGAGTTTTATGTACCTGTATACTAGGCAGATTCCATATCCGGGGAAAGCTCAGCCCCCGGCAAAGCAGATTTGGGGAAAAGACAGTACAAAGATGAACAAACATGCCTTTGGCTTATATTTTTACCTGGGCTTGTGCCTCTCGCCCAAGCCGGGAAAGTGCTTTGGGAGCTTTCCGACCGGTCCGGGATGAAGGTTTCAATCTCGTTGTCCTGGGGAAACAGCGGTGGCACAGGGGTTTCCTCCCCGAAGTAGCTCCAATTGACATTGCCACAGAGTTTTATTATTTCCTTCAGGAGGTGCCTGCCGCACAGCCTCCTAGCTTTGCTGATGTCGCTCAGCTCCCGGGAGAACCGAACTAACAGGAGTCCCAGGCACAGCAGACGCACGCAGGGGAGCCGCGGCATCCCTGGGCCCCCGCCGCCAGATGGGCCGCGCGGTCTAACTGCCGCCGCTGCCCGGCGCCTCGCTGCACCTGCTCTCGTGCCGGCGCGCGCGCCCGTCCGGTCCGGTCCGAGCCGCGCACGCGCACGCGCACGCGCAACTGGCGGTAGTACGAGAGCGCGCGGACCTCGCGAGAACGCCGAGGCGCGAGAAGGCCGAGGCGCGAGGCGCCAGGTGCTCGATGGAGGTGCTCGCGGAGCCTGGTAGGTCCTGAGCTCTAGTTCTTCGAGAACGAACCCTTGCTTCGCTTATTCTTGCCCTCCCCTCTGAGGAGACGCCTCCGCGACCCGTGGGGCCCCCAGTGAAACCGGTAAAATCGGAAAAGGTGTAGCTGCTCCCCGCGGAGTGCATCCGCCGCCCTTCCGGCTGCTGGGTACCGGGGCGTCGCGTCGTCAGGCACAGCTTCCCCTGTTTCCCGCCCGGCGCGCGTCGCGGGAGGTCTGCTCACGTGTACTCGTCGGCTGGTGTGATAACCTCTTCCCTCAAGTCGCCAAGCGCCCCGCAGGTCCGGCCCGGCGGGTGTCAGCTCCCCCGGGGCAGCCGCGGGCCCCGCGCGGTGGCGTCAGAGCCGCGGGAGCCTGCACGCGCTGGAAGGCGCTGGCACGTGCGCTGCCCGGACGGCTCCGAGTGCGCTCGGGAGGTCCCCGCCCGCTCCGGGGGTGGGGTGGGGTGCAGCCTCGACCTCTGGACCGAGGGCCGTGGCTGGGATGCTGACAGGTGTGTAACTAGCCTGTGACAGGGACCCCACGGGCTTTGCCTCTGAGAATCACAGTTACCTTGCTAAACCGGGAGGGAAGGGGCGCGGCGGGTACGGGGCGCTGGGTCCGTTGTGAGGGGCGTAGGGGGGAGATCCGATTGGTGCGTGGGCTCGGGAGGACGCCCTAGCGGCCGGCAGGGGGCGGTCGGGGGCCGCGCGGGGAGGAGGCGCGGGCACCTGGGTCGAGGCGGCGGGGCTGTCCCGGAGCCCAGCACTGCCCGGCGCTCATCCCGCATCCCGGTCCTCTCCGCCCTCCGCCTCCGGGGCTTCGTCTCCGTCGTCCGTTTCCCCGGCGTTGTCTTCCTGCCCAGGGACACCCAGGAGCGCTGTCCACGTAGCTGGATTCGGAGTTTTGAAAAGGCCGGTGTGATTTGATGAGCACGGAGTCCTCCCCTTCCCTGAAAGGCAGCTCGTGTCCCCGCTGCGGTGAGCCGTGAGTTCTAGCCAGAACTCGGTCAGGGGTGCCCTGTGAGAACCGAAGACATTCGTTATACCGAGAGGGAGGATCTGAAACAAAGTTCTACTGAGCTCTAGAGAGGGGGGTGAGCACCTGAGTTGAGGGTGCATGAGTGCATGCAGGCTGGTCTGGTTGGTAACTGTCTTGGTGAGGGGCCATTGAAAACTATGGGGACTTAATCCTTTGGTGCTAAGAGCTAAATTCCCAACCTAGGGACAGAATTGGATTTATTTTTTATTTATTTTTTAATTTTTATTTATTTATGATAGTCACACAGAGAGAGAGAGAGAGAGAGGCAGAGACACAGGCAGAGGGAGAAGCAGGCTCCATGCACCGGGAGCCCGACGTGGGATTCGATCCCGGGTCTCCAGGATCGCGCCCTGGGCCAAAGGCAGGTGCTACCGCTGCGCCACCCGGGGATCCCCAGAATTGGATTTATATGCATGTGTTAGAAATCAAGAAGAGGGGCGCCTGGCCGGCTCCGTCAGTAGAGCAGGTGTCTCTTGATTTCAGGGTCTTGAGTTAAAGCTCTACATTGGGCGTGGAGCCTACTTCAAAACAAAATGAAAACTAAAGAAGTTGGATGTATTTCTTGCACAGCAAAAACTGTGCTTGCACATTGACACCCGTTTCATATAGACATGTATTCTTTTAGGAATAAGAAAGGTATCAGTTATATCTCACACAGGCAGGTAGAGGGGTTGTATTTTGGGGGTGCTTTTCCATCTATATTGCAGGAATAGACAGGCCAGCAGAAGCAGTGTGTATGGAAGATGGAGTAACTGAGTCATCGAATGGTGGTGGAAGACCTCAAATGTCATTAGTTCAGTATGGCGTGAGAACGACTCGGGTGGGCAGGGGACCTTGGTGCAAATGAAGTTATGGAATTGACAGCACTGTGCTGGGGTATAAATAAGATATGAATGGAAGTGTTAAAATCAGCAAGAAAGGTTCTGTGATGAAAGTAGAGCGCTTGGAAAATGTCTTTCTCCCCGAGGAGTTACAATCTATTGGTCTCTGCTTCCTCAGTGAGAAGCTCTTTAAGTTGGCCTTGGGGAGGACATGATGAAGCTCAGAGGCTTGGTTGTGATTAACTGTGTCTTGGGATTTGGAATTGGTGTCTTCATCTCTTGTAATTCAGACTAAATATTAAGATGATACTGTGCAATTTACCATTCTAACAAAAGTTCATATCATTTCAGATTATTTTGTGTACATAAATGTTCCGTAAGTTCTAAAATGGTGAGACTGAATGTGTTCCTTTACCAATCTAGGTCTTTTCTTTTTTTTCTTCTTCTTTTAAAAAATATTTTATTTATTTTTTTTTAAAGATTTTTATTTATTTGCAAGAGAAAGAGAGGGAGAGAGAGCACAAGTGGGGCTGTGAGAGGGGCAGAGGAAGAGGGAGAAGCAGCTCCCGGTTGAGCAGGGAGCTGGACACAGGGCTCAATCCCAGGACCCTGAGCTCATGACCTGAGCTGAAGGCAGATGCTTAACTGACTGAGCCACCCAGGTGCCCCCGATCTAGCTCTTTTCTAAGACAAAACATTAAGTTGCTTATTCGGTTATTTACTATTCATTTATGTCACTTAAAAATACTTACTTGAATCTCCTAGAAACATGAAAGTATACAAACTTGAAAAATAATTCAGTTTATGCGAATCCAAATCCAAAATGTATTTGGTAATGAACCTGTTTTCAAACATGTTTTCAACAAGGCAAAAAATCCACTTGGGCTCAAATAGGAAACTGTAAGGTTTTTGGTTTAATGTTCATTTGGTCTACATTGGCAAGATCAATTAAAACATTTTATTACTTTTGTATGTACCTGGTGTTAGATGTGTATAAAATGAGTTATGTTGGTTAAATAATTAAGCTTTTTATAATAATTATGAAGTTAATAAGGTTATAAATGCAGTTGATGCAATCATACCCTTAATTTAAAAAGAGATTTATTTTTAGCAGTAAAAGGATTGATTTTTGAGAGAAAGCACATTGTGGAGAGATTATATACTATTACAGACAGACAAAGAATGCAAACATTGATAATTTCTCACATTCTAGTAATCAGTCATGACTGATTTGGACATTGATAAATGCATCATGGAGAATATACATGAAGATAGGTGAAAAATCAACAATTCTATTGTGCATATTTTCAGAAAATTTTTTTCTTCCAACCTTTTTTTTAACAACATATTATATCAATAACTTCCTTCTTTTTTCATAATCAAATGTGTGGTTTGTTTTTCCAGAAAAATAAAACATTTTTCCAGTAAAGGAAAGAAATAACAATATGATATTATGTCCTGATTACATGTTAATTACCATGTTCTGCACAGTGTGGACGTGATCAACATGTGTTCAATGATAGTACGAATAAACATTTGAGATATAAAAATCACATACCGGGCAGCCCGGGTGGCTCAGTGGTTCAGCCGGGGGCGTGATCCTGGAGACCTGGGATCGAGTCCCACGTCAGGCTACCTGCATGGAGCCTGCTTCTCCCTCTGCCTGTGTCTCTGCCTCTCTCTCTCTCTCTTTGTGTGTGTCTCTCATGAATAAATAAATAAAATCTTAAAAAAATAAATAAAAATCACATACCACTTGCCAGTGCTGTAAATCCATAAACATTGAAATAAATACCTAGTAAATAAATAAGTAAAATTTAAAAACTATCTCCCTCAAAGATAACTGCCTGTCAGTGTTGTCTTCAGCTTCTGTGAAAATTAGGAATATTTTGTGATGTCATTTTTAAGGTTCCTGCATGTTGGCTGATGGAAGGTAACAGGATTTCCTGTTAAGTTAAAAAAGTGTGTGGGAGGTGTGAAAAAATATTCATGTCAAGAATAAACAGGAAAATTATAAAATTTTGTATAGGCCAAAAGTTAACAGTTACTTCAGGATGATTAAACTTGCAACAGAACCAAACGTCCTAATATCTAAACAAATGACTTAGAGTTGGGCAGTGTGACAGTATTACCAAGGTTCTCTTGCCTCTGGCTATTCCTAGGACTGTGCTAATGCTTGCACAATGATACTTTTTAACTCCCTTGACACTATTTTGATAGATCACTACTTTCATCTGCATGTGTAGAGTGAGGCTGAGCACAGGCAGCCAATGAGGTCTTGAGCCAGGTCATGTGGGCTGCCATGCACATTGGTGGACAGCCCAATAGGAGCCAGCAGGAGATGCAAACTAGCAGGGGCAGGAGCTCTCACTCACATTGGCTTCAGATCCCAGTAGCAGCTCTTCCTGGATGTTGGAGATCCTCTTACGGTGTTTCTCACACATCATCATCATGACATCTAGGAATTGGATGTCACATAGCTTCACCTGTTCATTGCTTACCCACTAGGCCATGCTTTCTCTAAAGAGTTGGCTCAGCAGCAGCCAGACTTCTAGCAGGTAGGACCTGGACTTGGTCTCTCCTCCTCTAACATTCCAGCCTTTCTCTAGGGACTGCAGCTGCTGTTGCCTCCTGCCTTTGCCTGTGTACCTATCCTAGGTTTCAGAATGCTCTCCCTTTATGGCTCCAGGTAGCTTTTATAGCATTTGGCTAAACACTCAGATCTTGTCAAGGGCTCCGGCTCCACCCCTTTCTCCAACAGCTCCCCAAAACATTTTTCTCAAAACTTTCACCCTTTGCACCTCTCTCCCCCACATCCCCTTTCCCTTTGTGCTCTCAATATTCTACTCCTTGTTTGTTTTAAAATTTGAATTTACCTCTTCTTCCCTCCTCTACAAC